GCGGACATTTGTTATAAATAAAATATGTTGAATTACTCTTACATCCGAAATAACTAAGTACCCACTTATATTATTTTAACTGCAATGTGTCGTATTAAGCCTGACATACTAATTATTTCCGAATTGAGATTCCTCAGAAACAAAGTATTGTTTTGGAATTTTCCTCTAGAAGAAAAATCAAGCTGTGTAGGTAATCTAGTAGTAAAATTAACATCCTGTACTACTTTAAACACTAATGGAGGCAACATATTAGAAGTATTGAAAATAATACCTATATCATAAATATTACAAAAAATGTTTCTTCCAAAATGATGATACTGTAAAAGAATTACGATACAATCTATGAATAACGCACTTCTAATATACATTTATTTATCGATGAGGAATGTAATAACATGCAGTTTTATTACACGTAGGTAATAATAAGCATATGAATAAAACGAAACTGTTCAATATAAATGCAATCTACTATTTAGTGAGATTATTACTTACCTTTGAGATGGTATATAAAAGAAATAAAATGAAATGTACACGGATACGTTTGCGAACAATACTGACCCTGCCGACTCAGCTCTAGAATAGCCTAAACATGGCGGGCATCTCGGAACACGAGTGCGCGTTATGTCTTAACTATCTCTATCAAGTAACTGGGCCAGAGGTAGAATGCAAGTTGATGTCAACTTCTTCAATAGTGTTTTATTCACTGATGAGGCAGCTTTTCATAAAAATGGATTTGTTAATTGGCACAATTTCCATTATTATGCTTCCGAAAATCCTCACTTTTTTATGTAAGTTGATAACCAACACAGATGGTCTATAAACGTTTGGGGAGGAATTATTGGAGAATATGTAATAGGGCCACATTTCTTTGATGGTACATTGACTGGAGCTATTTATCTTTATTTTTTGGAAAACTATCTGCCACAATTATTGGTAAATCTCCTTGGAAGAAATCGAAATAGGATGTGGTTTCAGCAAGATGGTGCTCCACCACATTATTTAAATGCAGTTAGAGACCACGTAAATAATACCTACCCTCATCAATGGATTGGAAGAAAAGGACCCACTAAATGGCCTGCTAGATCCCCAGATCTTACCAAAAAGGATTTCTTTTTATGGGGATACGTGAAGGAAATTGTTTATAGAGACACACTAATAACAGTACAAAATATTAAGGAAAGAATAACTGCCTTTAGATCTATCACACCGGCAGTTTTAGGAACAGTGGGAACCTCATTTCAAAAGCGTATAGAGATGTATGTCAATCAAAATGTCCAACATGTGGAACATTCATTATAATTTTCTCTTCTGAGTTATTTGAAGAAACCTCTTTTTTTTAAGTTTATTTTTGAATGTTGTAATTATTGCTCAATAAAACGAAAATGGTTGCAATTAGCCATAGGGAAGTACTTACAAAAAATGTTCGTTTTTCATTTTTACATCACATCGTTGAAAAATATACAGGGTATTCCATTTGAAAAAATTGAGAAAATTCAATTTAAAAAGTTCTTAATTGAATACTAATTTTTGGCCACCCTGTACATTTTTAGGAAATGAAAATGATTTAAAAATATTAATTAGATGTCTCGTAACTGGTATTCACATAAGTTTTTCTTAATACCCATAATTGTGACTGGTGATTTTTTTTAAGATCCATCTGCAGATGGCATTATTTCAACAAAAAAATTCATTACATCAAAGTGTTTGGGAGATAGCCAATAATAATATAGGAATGAATAGAGCCTAGAAAGAGGTTTCAAAAAATTTACTGATATACATAGCATTCCATTTAAAAAAAAAGGCACTTGGTCCTGTAATTTCGTCATGGCTCGCCCTGTATGTTCGAAAATAATTGCCAGTTATAGACTTTTTTATCTAGTTTACTTGCAATTTTGCAAAAAATTTCTAGCTATCGTAGAATTCGAGATATCGAAGTCCGACGCACTATTGCCCCACCCTGTACATACAGAAAAATTTTAGTTGACCCTGTATAATCGTCTCGCTCACCCTGTACATTCGAAAGTAATTTCCGGTGATAGACTTTTTGTCTAGTTTGTTTTTAAATCAAGTTTCTAGCTATCATAGAACTCGACATATCGAAGTCGGGCGCACTATTGTCCCATCCTGTATATCTGGAAAAAACTGAAAAATTCGTATTTTATTTTTCTCCCATATGTTGCTTATTTGATATCCAATATATTCTGTAAAAGCATTCAAAGAGCAACTGTTTGCGTTTTATATGATTTTTATAAAATAAAAGTATTATAATGATTCGTTCACTCAGAATCATCTCAGGATCAACTGTCACTAACTTTATTTTTTCTCATCGCACCTATACATAGATATTTTATAAAAATCATATAATGTTGTTTTAGGCATGTTTTTACAAAATAAATATTGGATGTCAAATGAGCAACATATGGGAGAAAAACTTAATACTTATTCGAATTTTTAAATTCTTTCAAGTTAGGTATCTGAAAAAGCGAATTAGATAGATACTTATAATTTAGTTCTGTTGACCCTAATGTCTTAGCAAGAATATCATGCAACTTTTCTCTAATTTGTCGGTTCTTGTAACTCGCAAGAAGGGGAAGTTAAAGCCGAATCAGTGGCGGCTGGTGGATTTAGGCTATACCCATATCTTAATTTTGGAGCCTGGAATCCAAATAATGTTTTATGGCACGACTATCAATATTGAATGTAGAAGTTTTGCAGAAAAAAAATTGGAAAAAAAAGAAGTTACAAAAAATGCGCTGCCGACTCAGATTACTTCTAGACCATTAGTAAAATATTTGCAAACTATTTTTTTTTTCGTAATCAGAAAGAAAATTTATCACCCCATTTTTTCCTGTTTTCGAAAATTTTTTATTTTTTGTATGTTGTAAGTTGACATTTTGAAATTTAAGTTCTTCATTGTGTAAATTTCAAAATGTCATAACTATAAAAAATCAAAATTTTCGAAACAAAAAAAACCGGGTTATATATTTTCCTTCTGATGACAAAAAAAAATAGTTTGCAAATATTTTTTAGCCTTTGTGCATTGTTAATTTTAAGAATAGAAAACACAAAAAAAAAGTAAATGTATTTCAAAATAAAATCACAAGAATATTTAATATAGGTATTCTTTAATTTTTAATTTACTGTTTGTCACTGTTAACCAATTCTACAATAATCCGACACAGTAATTGTAAATGCACAACTGACCTGCAGACATACATATGTATGAAACGAATAAATTTATGGCTTTGACCCTTTAAGAAAGTTGCAATCTTACACCTACCCGACTATAATTTGTAATACATCCTCCTGATTCTCCTCCAACGATTCTTCTTCAAGTATTATCTGTCCTACATATGTCTGTATTTATGTATGTATTTACATACATATGTACGTTACTTACATTCCACTTATAAAAAGTGGAAGTCTGTCTTTGTGGCCGACATTTATTAGACTATAATTGTCCTTAAGTTTCAACATACTTAAAAAAGCTAGACCTGTTTGAGATTAAAATTGCACCAGTAAATAAAATTTAAAAACACTTTAAATGAGTGGAACAAGGATAAAAATTTAAGGCGTGGATTTTGATTACTTAGACCAATCCGACTCAATGTAGTACTTACCTACCTACTTTCGTTTCTCTGGTCGCCTTTGTCCGAGTATGACCTTGCACGACAGGCTAATTCTCTAGATCAAATTCTAAGAAGTTGTAGATGTCTTATTTATTTTATTTTACTACTTACTTTGAATCCTAAGTTTTCCTAACATAATTTAAAATGCATTCATTTTTTAGGAATAAACATGGGAAGATATTTGTATTGTAAGCGAAAGAACCAACACGACGAAAGGGGGGGTAGATAGCTGATATGAATATTTCTGATATTCCATAGGCGCGCTGTAGATTTTTAATAAATATAAAATACCTTAACTTTAACTCTTGCAATTCTTATATAATACATTGCTTAACATACATATCTATTATCTATCGAATGATCCTTAAATAATGTGTAAACACATTTTTGTAAAAACATTTTAGAATGTTTAAAAAAAATCTAGTTTTAAAAAATCTGATTCTAAAAAAATACTAAGGTGAACATATTTATATAATTACTGAGAAACAACATTCAAATGATTGTTTTCTAATATTGTAAAAAAAATAAATGATAAAGGTATGAATAAATATGCATTAAAATAATCAGAAGTGACTTATAGGTATTATGATTCTTATTAACATTTATTTTAGCGTCGAGTTTAGTAGTGTAAAAAATACTAGATTAGTTTTATAATAAGGATCCGATAAATGCTGTAAAGTACTATTATTTACATAGTAGATATTTTGGGTAGCAAAATTAACAGTAATAAAATAACACACAATAGATATACTTAACATCTGAGTCAATAACAACCACAGAACGTCAGTTCTTTGTAGCAATAATAAATTTGAGGGATATGAAGTTTACAACACAATCCTGCAACAGAAATTGGACAGTCAGCTCTACCGCGCATTTTTTAAACCGTGACGTCACCTTATCGACCATTTATAAAGTATATAAAATATAGAATAAATAAATATAGTTTAAAAAAACTAAAAAAACGCGCTTTTAAAGCACATCAAACTAAAAAGTGAAAAATAATTATTAATATAAACTGAAAACAATAATGAACGAAATATACTAAGTATTATTGTGAAAAAAGCGTGGGTTGCTCGATATACGAAAAATATGGCACAAAGCGCCCCACGCTTTTTTTCACAATAATACTAGTATTTTTCGTTCATTATTGTTTTCAGTTTATATTAATAATTATTTTTCACTTTTTAGTTTGATGTGCTTTAAAAGCATGTTTTTTAGTTTTTTTAAACTATATTTATTTTTCACTTTTTAGTTTGATGTGCCATGAAAGCGTGTTTTTTATTTAAACTATATTTATATTGCTTATTGATGCTGATATTATAACATATTACGATCCAACAGATATTTCTGAAAAAAAAAAATATTTTTTTATTTCAGCCATGGGATTTGAACTCACGCTCGAGGAGTCAGTCGTTTCGCGTCGACGTGCCTTAGCCCGCTCGGCCAACGACTGAACTGACAATCATTGAATGTACTTACAATATTAAGCCTCATGGTCTCCCGCAGAGGATACGTGAGGAAAGGAAATTATTTAATTCTGGCGATCCTGATCAGGATAATGATATAAACTTATCAAATTATTGTATTGTTACCGGTTCTTCGTAAGTGTACAAAGTTTCAATTAAATCTGTCCGTTTAAAGTGGGTCAAAATCGAGTCCAAAGAGTCGGTTACAAACAAACAAACAAACAAACAAGCAAGCAAGCATACAGGTGAAGCTAATAAAAGCGTGTTAAAAAGTAAGTAGATACACTGAAATACCGTATGTTTTAGCGTATATGTAAATAATTAATAAGTAGAAAGTGTAATGACACCTTTGGCAGTACCAAACCAAACTATTATACACGGGGTCTCAATGCTTCTCATTGATAGCGAGTTACGTATCCTATGTTATGCCTTATCACAGGATGTGGGCTGAGATAAAGCAACCAGCAAATTCAGCATTTGTAAGCTTCTGTTCTTTATTAAAATTATAGTTAGTTAGTTACGAGTATCGAGACGTGTAACAACTCATTTTTATTGTGAAAATAAATTCTTTTTAAAAACTGTTCTTCTCGACTTTAAATCATAACTAGCGTGTACAATTTACGGTTCTATCAAAACACACGGACGTGCTGATCCGGCACCTTTTTTACCTGGCGAATGTATCTATTTGATAATAAGCTCAGATACCGATTTGTTTCTTATACAAATATATATTTATTGCGTAAAATAAAACTACGTCATCTCGATAATAAATATTTATTGTTTGTACCACAAGGCCATGAAAATTTCGAAACTCATAGTTAATGTCGATTAAAATTTATTTGTGACATAAATCTATTCGTAATTTATTTCTCGTAAGTAAGAATGGAAAACTTACACTTTCCTAGTACCTATTTAAATTGTGCCATTCTTGACTTACACCACTGTTATTTGTAAGTGTGGAATTGAGCTCCAAGGTGGCGACCCTTCGTCTCCAATATGAAGTAAGACACTTCGAGGGAGTATCCCTTGCGCGCGTGTTTTCAATCATTACATATTTGACTGACTGGATTTCATGTATTAAGCGACCTGCACACCAGCATAGCATATTTTTCAATGATTTCAACTTTAACAAGTTCATGTAAATACCGACCCTAATTTGCACAGTACTAATACATTCCTCACATTCTTTTGCCGGTTTTCTTTCGCTTGACAGATAGTACCTATTGAGTTTAATAGTATGTATGTATATAAATACAAGTTTTTTCTAGTTATTAAGTGCGTTATTTCTAACTGAGATCTCAAGATATTTCAGTAGATTTCAGTTCCGGCAGGAATGTTACTGGTTTCTTTTAGTTATCACATTTTGATCAGGGTTGCCACGAGTAGAAAAAATATTGTACTGACAACTTACACAGTTGTTGTGTAATGAATCGCGTTAAATATGAAATATGAAAATGCATAAATATTTGTAATGAAACAAACAGTAATTTTGAAACAATGTTATGAAATAATTAATTTTTGTAGGTACCTTAGAATATTCAAGTTATCTATTTACTAGCATAAGGAACTACCATCTCTCGTTAGAACTACCTAACTTATATTAAGTGTATGTTGGCAGTTCTATTTAGTTGAAACACGGGATTTTAAAAATTACTAATCCAGTTAATTTTTTTAATTTTTTCTTTTTTTTATTATTTAGTCTAAAAATCATAGTTAATCCTAATGCGAACAAATTGTAATGAAATGCGGTGATTCGAAAATTGTAGTATCGACGTAATGACAGCATGCAAATTGTAATGAAATCGTTACAATTGTAATGAGTGACTGTGGCCACCCTGATTGTGATATTAGCTGAGAATTCTCAGTTCCCCCTTGCCGATCTGCACAACCTGTTTTATATTTCGGTATATCATCTCACTTCACAGGAAGGAGAAAATTTTATCTTTGACATTTGGTCAGTAAGCAAACGATTCTAAGGTTAGGTTAACTTAATTTCATGTATATTTCTGAAACTAAAACCTTTCTTGTGTAAAAATTTGTGCTAATTTAACTCCAATTTGGTATTTTAATGTTTAATGTTCATTATGTTATATAATAACAGAACACGAATAGATAAATAGGAGGGGGAATATCTCGACTTGTTATTTGATATTTTTTTAAAGTTACAGAAATATTAGTTAATCTCATTAATATGAGATGTTGCGTAGAAAGAATATTATCAAAATATGATGTGATAGTTAGCATCTCATAGTAAATTCTCGGGCGTAAATAAATGCATATAAGAGGGCCAACCAAATTAAAATTAGAACCATGAAAATAGGATGATTTTTTTTTAAATACCTATAATATACTAAAGTTGAATAAATTAAAAATAGTTCATTTTTAGTTATTAAATATAAAATTATTTAGAAGTAATAATATCAATTTAGAAATAAAATTGAAACAATATTAATGAAAACCAGGGTTGCGACGATTTAAATCAATTTGATTTAAATCGTGATGTAAATCATGATTTATATCAACTGATTTTTTAAATTTAAATCATGATTCAAATCAAGTTGTGTAAAGCCAGTAAATCAAACTTCTGAAAATTCAAATAAAAAGTATAGTTTATTTAAAAGCTAGATACAAATTAAACTAAAAAAAAAAATCAAATAAAAAGAAGAAAAGAACACTTAGGTTACACATATAAAACAAAAGTTACCTTCTTAAATGTACATTATAAATTAGGTGCCTACTTAAAAGCAGAAACATAAAGTAAACAAATTAAACAGAACCAACTCTAAAAGAAAATAAAACATGATTTACTCCAAAACAAAAATTTTAAATTAGGTTAATTATTGTAAAGTTTGTACACAAAAAACTAATTTGGCTGCTTTTTCGGTCCCTAAACGTCCAAGATCCCCTTAAATAAAATAAACAGTTATTTAGATTTACAATACCTGCAGTTAAATCAACTTCCTGCACTTTTCATGATGGCCTTTTAATCTTTGAACAAGTCCTTGCATTTCTTTTTTACAATTTTTACACACCGCTCTGTTACTGGTTTTTCCTTTTTCTGTTTTTTTTTTTATAAAATAATCCCAAGTTTCGTCTTTCTTCCTTTCCGCTCATTTTTATTTTACACTTCAGTCGCGCGTCGCCTCGGCATCTATGAAATTAATGAAACCGACCACCAAGCTTGTCAGAACAAGAAAATGCTGATTTTTTATTGTTTGTATGAAAATATAGACCATATAGAGAATTTTTCCAGTGACGTGAATAATTTATATGTGCAAATTGGTAGTTAGAGAATATAAAAAAAATAGTGTATGGAAAAATGGTATTTGTTTTCAAAAAATTAGAGTAGAACTGCAAATTTTTTGTTCTAATCCTAAGATTTGAAATACATTTTTTATATTGTTAACATGAACATTATCAGCTAAATAATTTAAATTAAAGTCACCAAAAAATAAGAAAGAGTTTTTGTATTTTACCATCAAGTCTTCACACCAGTTTCCAACACATTCTATAAACTCATCATGTCTTGAACTTGGCGAATGATATACCACTCCAATACACCACACTGAATTGTCTAACCATACTTTTATAAACACACCAATAATTAGTTTCTAGTACATATTTTTTTAAAATAGAGAATTTTATCCCTTGTTTAAGAAATAACAACACTCCTCCAGTATGCCTACTACTTGAATCTACTCTAATAAGTTCATATTTGTCTATCGATAATTCTAAATTTTCCATGTCATCTGTTGTTCGTGATTCAGATAATAATATTATATTTGGATTATAACAAACAATATCATTTATAACTTGATCTTTATTCTTCGTGAAACTTTGGATATTCATATATATATAGCATCTATATTGTTAGGGTATATTAGGCAGCTTTATTAGTTTTTTGTTTTATTAACTATTTAAGGTATATTGTTAATATATTTTATAACCTTAGTATCGTCATTAAGTTCTTCCAGTTGCTTTTTGATTGAGGCATAATATTCTCTTTGCATTTTCGTCTGGTCTCCAAAAATTTTTACATTTGGTATATTTATTTTATTTTTATTTTTTAGTAGAAAAACAGCATGGTTGCGACTTGGTAAAATTACTTTTATTGGACGATTTTTTCCTGCTTCATATTTTCCCAATCTTTGTATTTTGCAGCTATAATTTTTCAAACTGCTCATCGATACCACTATTTTTTAAAATATTTTTAACTGTTTTTGTATTATCGCATATTCTGCTTATTTTTGTTGATTGTGCTGACTCTTGTATGTTTGTTACAATAATATTAGTCACCCGGTTTTGTCTTTCTTGCATTTCGTACATGAAAGACTCCATTTGCGTAAAGTTCGTAGAAAAACTTTGTTCTTTACGACGCTCTTTAAGTTTTTTTATATCATCCTTAAGGCCCTCTACTTCTTTTATCAAGACATGGATTTTTCTGAGTCCTTCTTCATAATCGGAACACAAAAAAATTAGTTTTCTTTTTCTCAAAGTCATACACCTAATTTCATCATTTGTCAATTCCAAGCAGGTACAACAAAAGCATCTTTTACAGCTGTCGCAGTTGAAAGCCTCTTTACCATTTTTATTACACTTGCTACAATTGCTCATTATCACTTCCAGATGATTTCTTGCAGGTATAACAAATTCGTTAGTTGCCAGATGTTGAAGTCTCCTTATGGTTTCTGTCCTCAGTCGCACGTGTTGACCACTCGTTGAACAATACACTTTCAAAAGTGGGATTCTTATTATTCCAATACTGTACAAAATTAATTTAAATACTAATCATACCCTAACTCAAATCATATGTAAAGTTACATAGATCTACGCAGAATTTTTTAGCCTTTAATTCAATTAATTTTTGTATTTTTTACCGAAGTTTTTAACCACTATTTTGACGATTTTAACTGGAGCGTCTCACTTTATGTCCGGTCACGACCACTAATAGAACTGCAATATTGAATATTTCATAATCGAATTAATAAT